TTCCTTTGCTACTCTCCTGCTCTGTTCTTCCCCCCACCCCCATCCTACTTTAAGACACACATTTTTGATATCACCTTCTCCAGGCTTCGTTGGTTTTCAAGTAAGGGATATGAAAACTAGGCTAGTGAATGTGAAAACTCAAGTAAAACAAGGTCATTTTAAATACAGTCTGTGTGTCTGCAATGTCCATGTGTCCTTAATTCAACAAACAAGCTCAGTCACCTCACTAACACCTCCCAGGCATGGGAGAATGAGAGAAAATTATCATGTCATTAAACAATTAATGAATTAGTGAACTAATTAATTAATTAGTTAATTAATTAATTCCTCATTTAGTTTGGAACGGTTCTTTCACAAAAATGGTTGTATTTTGTCTATAGCAGGACTTTCTGTCTAAGCAGGACTTGCTTTCTTCAAAGCCTTCAAGTTCTAAGAAAATGACATTTTTCTATGTATTTTAGTCACAAATATAAGAGTTTTAGTTTCCTAATAGCTGCACAGTTCAGAACTTTCTTTACACTATGATGTCCTGAGAAGTGTAAAATACTAATTTTGCCTTAAAAGCCAATATTCTATCAGCCAGTGTGTTTAGAGTACAAAAGTACTGCAATCCCACATTTCTCAAAAGAACTTTTGTGCTAAAGTTTTGCCTGCCATTTACTAAGAATTAGTTCATGTGTGAGTAAAAAAAGAACAAAAATCATTGTTCATCTGGGCAGGTTCTTCTTGGTGTGCTGACATTGCCTGTTTCTATATGGACCATCAGCTGATACAGACTATTGTAAAAGACAGGATAATTCAGTTCACAGGTGCTTGACATTCATATCATCATTTGCTCTTAAATTAAATCCAGTGACCTCTCTCTAAGCTCTCACCTTAAGAACATAGGAAAACATAATTCCTTTCCTTTTTTTTTCTTTTTTCTTTTTTTTTTTTTTTTTTTTTTTTTTTTTTTTTTTTTTTTTTTTTTTTTTTTTTTTTTTTTGGTGTTCATTGCAGTTTGTAGCCAAAGAGCTTTTGAAGCTAATAGAAATAGTCTCCAATACTGTACATAAAGGGTTACGTTTCTGGGCCTATGAAAACACTTTTTGGTTATTTCTTTTAAATTTCATGAACTTTCCAGACAGTTTGCTAGCTGATGGAAATGTAGCCACACTGTGTGTATATTCAGCTGAAATTTTGCTAAGTGTCAGTTTATTTAAAAAGTCACTTATTGAATGTGTTTCTTTCCATAACACTCAAGGAAAGGCTCTAGAATGTCATTACTGCAACTCAAAACTACACTAAAAATAAGTAACTGCAATCTGCTCCAAATTCGCACAAGAAGTTCACAAGTGCAAGCTTAACTATTTTGCACATAATTATTATATATAAATTAGTTATTATATAGAAGTTATAATAAACAATATATTTCTTTTAAACAATAATATTAATTATTATGGAGGGGCATTTGAAAGTTATAAACAAACAGGCATTTCTTTCCAAATGTCACTTCAAGATGCAATCTACAAACCTGAAGAAACTGCAAAACAACAAAGTCATATTTAATGAGCCCAACAGAGATGAGCACCACTAGCACTTTAAATCACGTTATTTCAATGACTGCTGATACAGTCAACTAAAACCTGCAATGCTTCACGGAACCTGTCAAATTCAAACATCATTTATTGTTTCCTTAATTCAAAATGTGTTTATCAAAGAAATTAAGTGAATGAGTGGCAGTTTTTCTGACTTGAAACTCCCCTTTTATATATTTCTTGATTGAGCTTTCTGCAATTTTCCAAAGAGCCACTTGAAAGAGGCAAAGATAAAATACTAAACTGATAAGACTGACATACACAGTAAATAAAATGCTTGGATTTTAGAGAATTATACATGTTGCAACATCTGCAGGCAACATCTTATGTCCTCTAAGCACCCCAATGTGTGGTATCAACCAACAGCTCTACTGAACATTTTACAGAGCTCACAATTTATATTAAGGAATCTGATTACTCCCAGAGAAGCAGTTTCAAAATTACTGCAAGAATGGCACCTTTGGGCATAGGAGATAATAATGCTAATTAATCACACTCATTTCAATGAGAGTGCTTTCACAGGTTCAATGTGGGTCTTGGAGCTGCTGAGAGCAAATGATCTTGTGCAACATGCTGCTTTCAGGACACACAATGCATTGCTGAGATTATTCAAACAGATAATTATTCACCAAGCTGCGAGAAGTTAAATCTAGTTCCAGAGGGTGATGTTATGCTGGATCCAGATGAAAATGGAGAATTGGCAGCAGTATCCTGCAATCCTCCTGCTGAATGGGATCGAAGCCATTCCTTTGCATCCTCTTGACTACGGAGCTGGGAGGATGGAGTATACCTGAAAAAACCAACAGGTTTTTCACCATGAACTTTGATATATTTGACTTTTTTGTTAAAATAAAAAAAACCAAAACAACAAAAAAACAACCATGAAATGTCACAAGGCTTGGGGTAGGAGAGAGAGAGAAAGAAAATGGAAGAATCCTCATATGAAATTAAAGGATTAAATAATCTAAATCAAATAGAATTCTGAATTAAGGAGCTGCTCCAAGCTCTTCCAACATGTTCCTAATTAATTTCACCTCTGTTTGGGAGGAAAAAACCAAACCACAAACTACCTTCCTATGGCTTCAGGTGTAACCAAGCCAGAGTGAATCAAAAGCTACAGGTAGAAGTTGTGCTGTGTAGCACTGTAGGAAAAAATGTAGTGTGTGCTACATCATAGGATTTAAAAATAAAACTGTAACTTAGAAAACTTTTCTCTAAGTTAAGTGAAAATTAAAACATTTTTTAAGTATTTTGGTACATCAATAATCTTAGCTGACTTTTTGTGATATTATAACAAAATTCAAGTCAACAACGCCATTAGCAGGACTTTTTTCAACAAGCTGTGACCCAGTATTTCATATTCCAGAGACATCCATAGGAGGCCTGTGGAGATATACTCCATTTAGTTAAAAACTAACAGCATTAAAACATCATAGAGGAGACTATGTTTAGCCTTTTCTGAAGGCAATGAAAATAGCAGAAACATGGTCTATGCCAGCATCAGCAGCAAAACACCCCCTGGCTTCAGATAAAGTTTCTTTTATTGTGTCTGTGTGTGAAAAATAGGTATGTCAGGTGTTGTGTGAGCTACGTGATGGAGTACAGGTACAGCAGCCAGAGCACCATGGCAATACTCTGCTGATGGAATTCAGTGTCTGTCTTGGCTGTGCCATTGCCTTTGGACAAATATTTATGAGTTACTAGCTCTCCTTCCAAAAACTTAAAGCCTATTATTTGCTGATATTATCTATTTAATTAATTTGATTCCCTTCAAATAAATGCCCTACAGTAAGACATCACTTATTAAGACTATTTTAAATCAATGGCAACACTGAAATAATTTAATATGTCAATCTGCTTTCAAAAATACATTAATTCTTCTGTTTATGCCTCAACACTTCAGCAGCAGTTCCTGACAATCTTCATTTCTTAAACTTTACATATGAATCAGTTTATTTGGAAAGGGGCTTTAAACAGTCATGTTACCTTAACACACTACAGATTTATTTTTATTGTCAGCATTAATACCTACCTCTTCAGTACTGAACTGTTTTGGTCTTAGAAGAGAGTATTTATTAGAGACATAGTTGAGGACCACAGAAACAATAAAACAAATTGCCATTTTAAGAAAGGCTTTTAGTATTTAGCTTCCTGGGACAAGGCTGCTCTGAAGAACAAGGTGCACAGCACAGAAAAAAATCACAGCTGCAGTTTCAAGGCAGTGATCCCAGATGCTGCATTAAGCAATTCAGAAGCTGAATTTCCTAAATTGTCAAAGATACCTTCTGTAAATTCTCTAACATGTAAAGCATTTAATTAACATAGCTAATAGTAATTCTGGCTAGAATTGCTTGTATCAATGGGAAAAAATAGTATGTTATAAAAATCACTACCTTACATATGTACAAAATATGTGAGAAGACAACAGCTGAAAGTTCATTTGATGATTTTTTGTTATTTTCTATGAGAGTAGAGAATAAAGTATAGATTATATATCATAAACTATAGATTAAGGTATTCTGATACGATTTTTAAAAATTAGTATGTCCAATTTCATCCTGAAAGGATTTGTGTGATCTTTAAAATCTTTTCTATTTATATAACAACACCAAGGTTCCCAAGGTTAAAAAATGATTTCAGGTCATTCCATGTAACAGCATCAGAAACAGCAACATTATTGTTTTTTCATCAAGCCCAGGGATGCTTCGAGATGCTTTCCAGCAATTAAGCCAGCAAAAGCCACAGTTCTTGCTCAAGCAGTGAGGCCACTGGATAAAAGAAGCACAGTTGTCAAGGGCCTTCTTTGAGGACTGAAAGAAGCAAGAAACAAAGCAAGAAAGAAAGCAAGAAAAAAGGAAGCAAATAGGAAGAAACAAAGGAAGAAGAAGAAAAAAGGAAGAAAAAAGGAAGGAAAAAGGAAGGAAAAAGGACGAGTATTGTTGCCACCTCTTGCAAACTGCGACCATCACCACCAGCCACAACAGCAACACAAAGCAAACTCCAAAGCCACCACAGAAGATGTTAAACCATGTGGAAACACCAATACCTGAGTCCCTTCTTAGGCAAAGTGTTCCTATCAAGATGTGGGTCGCTGCAGAAAATTTAAAAGAAAAGAACTTCAGAGAAGAACAAAAGGGAAGGATAAAGATCAGGACAAAGGACGTACAAACATCTGCATCACCTTTCCAGAGGAAAAGGTGCTGGGGCCTCCCTACAGAAACATGCACAGACCTCTTCACCCAGGTGGGGTTTGCACAAACATGCAGCTGCTACCATGCCAATGAACCACATCTCTTCACAACCTCATTTCACTGCTTCTCCTACCCACAATGAACAACAATGGCTCTTTAAGCGTCAAATAGCTGTTTAAAAAGACACTTTTCAGCAGGCTATTGGTAAAACCTGATGGGAATATTCAAGTCCAAACCACCTTCCCATCATTTCTATCAGCAGGCACACTTTAGGGAATGCACCCAATTATTGTAAAGAGGTATTGGAGCCCGGACTGTTTAAATTTCCAAATCTTAGCCTAAGTTCCATTAGCAAAGTAAAATGGACCGATCAGTTGCCCAAAACTCAACTATTTCAGTTTATGTTTTTGCAACTGATGAGCAGAGCCTGTTAATTTTTTTGTAAAGAAAATACCCCTGTGGTTAAATAAATTAATTAAACGACAACCCTCATAAGCTAATTTATAGTATGGGACTGATAAAAATTATATCAGTGAGCAAAAGTGAGCTGGAGTGTTTAGATTTGTGTCATCTTTTCCTAACTTTAACATTCATTGGTACAAGGATGGCTGTACCCAAGTACTTGGAAAACACTCATGAGCCAAGCTGCAGAAAGAGACTGACAACACTGAAGGACACAAGGACTTCACGACAAAAAGGACAGGCCAGAAAGGCAGTGGGAAAAGCAGCATGCCAGAAGAATGCTGAAATGCTAGTGAGAGTTTAGATTTGTAGGAAAAAAAAAAAAAAAAGCAACATGATTTTTCAAATTGCCTTTGGCAAAGATATAAGGGGTGGGTTAAAAATACCCCCTCCCCAACCCAAAGGACATTCCCAGAAATGAAAGCAACACCAAAAACATGCCAAGTGTGCTGTGTGCCACTGTCCAGATTGATTTGGGTGGGTAGATGTGTGTTTGCAGGGACTCTCACTGGCATGTCTTTGTGTCAGTCCACACCTGGATGATGAACACAGCAGAGCACTCAACTGAGCACAGTCTGGCACAAAACAATTTGCTTCACTGAGATGGGCAACAAAACCTGCAGCCTTGAGCATACTCCTGTCCTGAGACAGCATTACCTGTCCTGTCTCCTGGGCAAAGTATTTCGGCAGAATTTGGGGCTAGCAGCAGGGGAAGAAAGAGGGCTAGAAAGAGTAGTTCAACAAGACAGAAAACAAAAAAAGGAGTATTAGAATGAAAAGATGAGAAAACAAAAAGGAATTATAATAAAACACAAACAGAACCCCAAACTATCAGAACATTACATTCAGGCGCAATTTTCTCCGTTGAGACACAGCTGCAAAAATCTTGCTACCTGAACTCATCACTACACATCAGGATGTAGCTGATTTCCAGTGCTTTGGAAGGGTTCTACTGCCATCTACAAGAGGTCCCTCAGAGACCACTGCAGAGCTCACCCCAGAGTCAGCTCAGTGTGCCACCAATGCAGCTCTGATGCTGGAAAAGCCCTGTTCCTTCCTCCCTGCTCAGCCTCCTCCCAGGTCCTACTCTGTGCCCACACAGGTACCAGTGAATCCCACCATATACAGAGCTGAGGAACTGATCATTCTGAAATAAAATTCAGCTGATTGTTTTCACTTGGACCCAGCTTCCAATAGGATTCACTAAGCAGTCAAGGGAATGCTTGTACTGAAATATTGTAGTGAACAACTGGAGATAGGACAAGACAGCAGGGAGAGGATGAGAAGGGATCAAGTGACTACAGAGATGGGGACTTGTCTTTTCAGCATCATCTCCAGTTTGAAAGTCATCAAATTCTATAATCAAAAAGTTTAACAGGAAACGCTTGACTTTTCAAATCAAAATTGGAGAGATTTTTAAAATACCACTATCAGCTCAATTAACAGCAGTCTTTGGAAGGATAACCTACGATGCAAAATTCAAGTATTAGGTACCATCTGGTAGCAAAAAATGTTGTCACATTGGCTATGACAGCAGAATAAAAACCGCTCCTGAACCCATTCTCCTGCTCTGAACTGGACTCCTTTCCTGGAATAACTTCTCTCTGTGCTCTAGTCCTAGAGTTATCTGCACTGTGTGCTAAGAGGCATTACTTGATCTGTATCTGCAGCATTGGCTACTGCTGCCAGGACTTCATTCCCACTTGAGACACAAACGTACAGAAACAAGAGAAAAACCCACTAACCTTTCAGACAACGTAGTCTTAACGCTGTTGGTTCGGACGAAGGGAGTCAGGGAATCGTCCCTGGAGGCTGGGATCAAGCCACCTGAGGAGTTGTGGCTCAGCCCACCTCCACTGCTCAGGGAGATGTCTATGGACTCGCAGCTGGTGTGGAGGCTGCTGACAGACTGGTATCCAATGCCATCCTTGCTAACTGCAGAAGAACTACTGGCGTTGGTACCCCACGTCAAACTGTTGGAAGGAGCCGAGTGTGCAGAACTGGGGCTGGAAGCCAGTGGAGACTGGTTGAGATCTGTGTTTTTACCATAGAGGGGACTGCTGCCCCCACTGCTCAGCACACCACTGCCAGATGGGGAGTCAAGGTTACCCTGCTGGTTCATGGTAGCGTGAGGGTTGGAGATGACTACTGAGTTTTTCATATTTTCAGCTGTTGTGATGGGAACTTGTTTACTAGGTTTGCCACCAAAAAGTCTGTAAAAAAGAAGACAGCATGAAAAATACATAAAATGGAACAGTTAACATGAGGATATCTTATATTTCATCTTAGCTTCAGAAAACCAGTAATGAGTACATTATCCTAGATTGTACATTTGCAACTATACATTTATAATCTCCTTGTGTTCACTGTCTCTTTCAAAGCCCAGAGGTAATTACAACAGCTCCAAATCTATCTCAGGTGCATCACCTTTGAATCATCAACCAATACTTCCACAAAGCTAAAATACAGCTTCACAGAACTAAGATACAACCATATCATCCTCTGTTCCTAAAGGAAAAAGGACATCAGAGAAACAATCTGATGTATGGATAACTAGAGACTGGAAGCTTACTGACCAGGTAAAGTCTGCACAGATTGCCAAATGCTCTGCACAGAAACAGCTTTTGCTGGGATGCAACAATATACTCATACCAATCGTAGGTTTGTTTCATTTCACAAGCCAAACTGGCTGGAAACCATATTTTTTAGTGCAGGATGTGATGTTGTTACCTACTTTTTGGCACCTGGGATTGGCTAGCAAAAAACTAGGTGAGTTCCACAGCTCGAGGAGGAGGCTGACTGCAGCATCACTGCTGCCTGTGATGCAGCTGCACTGCCAAGGAAGCAAAGACCCACCCCAGGTCCCAGTCAATGGGAAACTTCTCAGAGGTGCCCAAGTGCTCAGTAGTAAACATGCTCTGCATTAAATTATCAATCATTCCAAAACCGATCTTCAAAACTAGGAAGGAAGCGTATCTTCCACTCCAGCTTCAAACACCCACCCTAAAACACTGCTTTTGTTTCTGCCTCTTGGCTCCTGTAACTACCTTTGGAACCTTAGTTTTCCTCACACATACCTGCACGGATTTGCTTTTTTATCACTCACTGTGGAGTACTGTGGGAGAAACCCTTCAGAATTGAGGACTACAGCACTTGCATACAAGTGTTCCTGAAGATTTAGGGGTGGGCATGTACCAGGCAGAACTTTCTCTGCTGTGGAGCACGCCCAGGTTGTTGGACACATGGCCACTAAGTCACTTTGTCCATCCCTTCCCAGAAACACAGGCTGTGTTAGAGCCGGGCACCTGCAAAACACCTGGAGCAAGTCCAGGCTGCACAGGTGCTTCCTGCAGCTCCAGTGCATGAAATACCCCTGAGCTGGGGAGCTGCTGCTACATCCTTGCCACGAGGCACCTGGACAACACTTCCAGCTGAGAGGGCAGGTTTAGGTCAGACATAAGGAAGAAATTCTTCCCTCTGAGGGTGGTGAGGTCCTGGCACAGGCTGCCGAGGGAAACTGCAGCTGCTCCATCCCTGGAAGTGTTCAAGGCCAGGCTGGGTGGGGCTTTGAACAAGCTGGGACAGTGGAAGGTCTCTCTGCCCATGGCAGGGGAGTCAGAATAAAATGATCTTCAGGGTCCCTTCTGACTCAAATCAGCCCATGATTCCACAGCCCTCAGCAGCTGTAGCAGCTTAGTGTATTCCTGTGCCACAGCATACAACCTCTTCAGCTGCCCTGGGGAAACCACTCTTAAAGAAAGCATCCCAGAGCTTAAAAAACCCCAAACACCCACACAACAGTTTTATAAGCTGTTTTTAAGCTGCTCCCCTGTTTATGACAACATGGAAGTTACATATATTCACAAATCTATAGGTAAGTCTGTATCATTACAAAGGTATGGATTCTAATTCACTGTGTAACACCAAAAGAACTACAGGGCCAAAAAGAAATATGCAAAAAACAATGTCTGCAACTCAACTGACTATGAAAATTAAGCTCCAAATCTTCTTTACAGTCATCCTAGAAATCAGTAATAAGCAGACGAGGCCCAATTCAACTCTGACACATTTCAACACATGCCAACTTAGACAGGCTGGTGAAAATTCAAGTGTGAAATTGTAAATCAAATGAGGGAATAGTTAAATTGAGCCTCAGTGTCTGCTCTTTGAAGTTTCATGTATTTCTAATGTAGCATTTCAATTACACAGGCAGCAATGCAGCTTTTTAGTAACAAAAAATTCCCAATCACATTCCTACCAATGTGCCTGAGGCACACCGAAATCACTGAAAATGCTGAAAATCTGCATTTCTAGTTGTGTATCCTAGAGAAGTGAAAGGCCTACTGGAGTTTTTAAGTAGCCATTGCTGAAAATTACATGTTCCAAAGTACATGGCTTATCTATTGTTAACCAGGTACAAAATAAAGTATCTTCAATTATCCTCGCACAGACTTTTCAAATAAAACGACCCATCTAAAAACGGTTTACAGCATCAGCCTAAGCTGCCACCACAGCCATTATGCTTGCACTGGTGCTTCAGATGGAATGTGGCTTTCTCACATCACTGGAAGCAGGATGATGGAGCATAACTGTATGGGTATTATGGGCATCACGACAAAATGAAATGCAAAACACTGCAACTTGAAACACACAAGCTACTCAAATTCAGTTGAAAAATAATATTAACAGAACTTTCCACCAATATCAAGGCTTTGATATACACTGCATTAACAAATTAGCTCCTCACCAACTATTTGTTAATGTTAGTGTGGGGGTACTCTTGGAGAAACAGAAGACAGATTGGATTTTTGTCCAAAAAATAGTATTAAAATAAGAAAATTTAACCCAGCTTAGACAGTAACTTTATTTAGGGTTCTTCTACACAGGCTAAAATATTGAGTCTTGCAACATACTGGGCTAATCCACACAAGTTATAATAGTTTGCTTTGGGTGAATCTAAGCCTGGCAGGTCAATGCCACTGTCATCACAAAAATCTGCGATAACCCTCCAGTTGTTGGTTTACAATTTGATCCACGACTGGAATATTTCCCGGTTTGTTACGTATACATCTGTGCAAGAACTCTTCAGTAACCTTCAGGCAAGAAAATCCTTGTATCTGTGATATCTGCATGGATAAAAGCCTCCAGGTATGATTTCTGCAGCAAGGAGACTCAAATTGTAATTGCAAAGCTTCTGCCAGAGAGGTTTGTTTTTTTTTCTGGATGTTAAACTTCTGCTGTTGTCGTGTGATTGTCCTAAGTATCCACAACACTGGCCAAGCTGCTTATGTGAAATTAAATGTAAATACCAAGCCCTTGAAGTAGGACACTAAAGAGTAGGTGCTGCAAAGCCAGCCAGGCCTGGCTGGCAGTCCTGCTCATCCAGCTCCCACTAACACCACTGCACAACCGAGGAGTTTGGTGCCTACCTGCGCAGAGTGGGAGAGGCCACATCGGGGTACTTGACTCCTTGCTGGTGGGTACTCTGAGCTCCGCTAGCAGCAGGCTGTGATGCAGGGTTCACTTTAACAGAATTACATGAAGCCACGCTTTCGTTGTCAGACGAAATCCCTTTCTCTTTATCAGTCTGATTGACTAATCCTGGCAGAGAGCTTCCAAGGATTACCTTGGCAGGCTCTCTGATTTTAGGGACAAGCAACCCAGCTGACTTGCTGCTTATGTTGGAGTCTATGCTACTCGTGCTAGATCTATTGCCAGCTCCACTTCTGCTACTGGATTTACTGGGCCGGGGTAAGCTACGGTACTGAAGATTAGTTCGTGCACTAAGTGCTAAGTAGCCATCATCCTGGTTCTGGGAGCCATCAACACTAGTCTTCCGACCAGTGGTCCTACCCATGAGTCCAGATGACTTGGGGATCTTTCCCAAGGTAGCCGATCTACTGGTGAGAGTTGCCCCACTGGCAGTGATTATGGTCATGCCTATGGCTGACCCGCTCTGTTTCTTAAATCCAAAAGTATTAGCATTAGCAGCAGCTGTCCTAGAGTTACTTGTGGGAAGCTTTTTGGATTCATCACCACTGCTGCGTCCTGCATCTGATGGGGAACGTTTAACATGTCCAGCTTTAGGAGATAGTCTACCCTTTTCTGATACCTTGGCGTCATCAGTTTTCCCTACAAAAATAGAAAAAGAATTCTAATATTTAATGACTTGAAAACATCAAGCAAATGATGAAACTCAAAGCAGCATGAAAAGCAAAAGCGTGTTAGCCACTGGAGCGCGGTTCAAAGTTATGATCTAGTCTGCACTGAACTTACATGCCACTCTAGTGAGTTACACATGCAGACTTGCCAAAGAAAGTATGTGGTGCCTTTGCCTTCGAGAATATGGAAAGCAGAACAGCCTTACATAATATGACAGATAAGAAAAAAAAGCTTCCCACTGTAGCTACCACAGATCAATTATTTCCATCATTATGCACTACTAGTGTTAGGCTGATAGTATAATTTTCCTAAAAGGCATTGTTAAAGCATTTCTATGGTTCAAAACAGTATATAAATGTCGTGGTTTGACACGGAAAGATAACTTTAACAATAACTTTAACTCTTTCATACACAATTATGTATAAGACCTAATAAAAAGAGAGGTATTAAATTATATTGCTTGATTATGCAAATTCAATCAATTTTCATTCACACATCTGCAAGTGCTAAAATCATTAATACATTTACAAGAAAATCCAGAAATCATGTTTAGTATAAACAAACATGCTTGTTTAGTAAGGGGGGGGGAAATCTCCTCAACCATATAGAGTATATCTCTTGGTTAACAGTGACTTCAAAACCTAAAATTTTATTATTTATTCTTCACAAAGCAATCCTCTGCCAAATAAATAGCTTGGTTTAAGACCAGAGTTTTCATGAAAACAACTGATAGGGTGTACTAATCCGAAATACACATTTTCAGACAGATATAGAAATGGGGACATACAAGATGCTGCTTAGGTTAAAGCAATGCCTAAAAATACAGACAGCATTACCTGAAGTTCAGGTTCTGCCTCTGCAAAGTATTTCAACTGTTTTCACACTGAACACATTTTTGGCTTGTTTATATCTTACGCCTTTTCTCACCTGTTCCAGGTGTCTTTAACGTGCCTGAGGTGGTTGAAGGTTTGGGCCTTGGTGTGGTAATGCCAACCTGAGCTGACATGCCCCGTCGCCAGGAGCCCGTCTGGGAAATAACAGTGTTCTTCCTACCAGAAGTGCTTTTATCAGACTCATCCGACACATCAGAGGGATTCCGCCTCCACTTGGATCCCGGCTCCATTTTTATGCCGCTATCGGAGCCCCCATCAGATTTCTTGACTTCATCACTGGACCATAAGGAATTCCGCTCCACCTGGAAATGCTTTTCTGCATCGGTCTAGGACAGATAAGGAATTGCAAGACAACTTTCAGAGCAAGTCTTTCTTTTAAGAAGCTTTGTTAAGTAGGAACCATCACCCTGATTTATCAGCTCAGCAGTCATGTCTGAGTACCAACAAACATTACATGCCTTTGATGAAGAAATGTCACAGCAAGAAATTAACTCCAGCAATGACATATTTTTTTAATATGCTTTGTAAGAAAAATACAAAAAACCACAACACTCATGCTCCTTGGAATAAATAAAGGGGGAAAAAACCCTACTTGATTTATAAAGGACATATTCAGCTCCATGACATTTATAATCCTCCATCTCAAATTTCTGACAAACCCTCTTACTGCAATGCCAAAAAAGCATTTCAAACCTGTGCAGCCAGCCTTCCTTTGTTCCTGCTGCTTTCTTATCTTTTGTCTGGCAATCTGATCTCCAGAGCATGAGGAGGCAGCTTTTGGAATAGATCCGAATATGTGGAATGCTGTTAATTCTAACCTAACATGGTAGAAGGAGACTCAAGAACTGAAGAAAAACTTTCTAACAATACTCAAGATTGACTTCAACACATAAATTACTTTAGTTTCTCTTGCAGACTGTTTTTCCCCCTACTCTTTGCACAGATTGATTGTGTTACCAGTCTCTTATGGACAATTTTGCTAATCTCAATATTAAATAGAAAAATTTCTCATTAGCAAAGCTTTTGTCAAAATCTCAGAAATGCTTAAATTAAATATATTAACCTATATATATGTGTGTATATTTTGTACATTCCCCATGCATTAATATTTCCCACTGCTAATGGTTACTCTTCCAGAATTCTACTCCTATCTAATGTTGCTGATTAAATTTGATGAATGTGGTAACACCATAACCAATGACAAATATCCACACATTTGACTCTGATCAGGATAAAAAATTCATAGCTGAAGTGTTCTCCAACCACCACAGCACCATGAAAGAGACTGACTGTAGTTCCCAAGTAGAGGCTGATGGGTTTTGGTGAGGTATTGATGCCACCTCTTCTTCCCTGAAGCTTTATCAGAAGATGACTGTGCTCAGAACTGTGCAGTAGGCAAAAGGAATAATTTATTTAGAAGGAAATTATTTTAAATATCCCAAAGCATTAGAAAGCTCACAGTCTTTATTCCCTTTGAATCCTCAGAAAAACACAGCATGAGAGAAGCTGTAAGATTATTCACCATGCTTTTCAGCTTTTAAGTTCCTAAAGAATGTTTTAAGTTTATGACTTTGCCTACCAGATCACACCATTAATATTAAATAATTTAGGGAAACTGTGGTTGAATTTCCTCTGCTTTTTACTGTAACTACTTTTTTTTTAAAGCCTGAAAAACTAGTTAAGCGATCAGTGTGTGAAAGCTGACACCACACAACATTACAATGGTCTTTCTTCAGGAAAGAAAGTGGGGAAACAGGGCTTGGGTTATTTATCTACATATTGAGTCATTAGACTAACATGCATTTTGAATTATGGATTTAGGTAATTTTATTTTCTTGTACTTTCCTCGTGCTCCACAAATGTTGTTTCCCTATCTCTCTATTCAGAGAGAGCAACCCATTGTAGGCTGGAATGGATCTCTGCTTTCTTACTCCCTTCTCTTCCTGTGCCTGCCAGGTTTGGGGCTACTGGGTCACTTTTCTATTTCTGACCATCAGTAGGTGTGCAATAAACTCACAGTGTAACTATTCCTATGTCCTGTGCCTCTCCAAAATCACTGTTTCATGCAAACAGCTCCTACATTCACAGATCTTAGAAGAGAGCACAGGCAAAAATAACAACTAATCAACCAACAAAGCCACCTCAAAGACACCATTCCTCACACGGTCACTTCAGTATCTTGTTCCAAGCTCCTTCTCTGGAATTGTGTGTATGCACTGTTAGTGTTCAAGAACAAGAAATACACCTACCTGCTAGCAAAGGCCTTACTCTAGTTTTGGTTGACTAGGAAATATTCCCGTACCTTCTATTTCCCCTCTGCTAATCTGTAAGATTTAGTACAGCCAGTCTCCACAGAGAACAGCTCTGCAAGAAGTCCTCTACCTTTGCTCTCCTCCCTTTCATTCCACTGCTACACCCACGGCCACAGCTTTCCTGCAGCCTTTGAAATGCTGCACCTCCACCTTTGAAACCCTCTGGCCAGAGATGCTTCTGTTTAATGGTAAACACTGGGAACAGCACAGAAACATGACTAAGGAATCAAAACCAAAACACAGTGAAACCTGGCTTGGGGATTGCAGCTGAAACTCCACCCGCCCAGAAGGGTGAAAGTGGAAATACTCTTGGCTGGAGGTCATGGCAAGACACAGCGAGCACGAGCTGAAAGCCAGGAGCAAACCACCAGGATTTCTCAACTCACTCACAAAGTTTTGTAAATCTGAAGCTGTGAACAGACTAAACTCATCTTTGCTGATAAGATGTCTTATCCAACTGCTTAGGGATGCTGCAGTTTTCCATTTAAAGGAACCTTTCTATCTTCTGATCTTTTTACCATCACATGGTTGAATTTGTTACGTGGTCTCTTTCTCCCATCTTATTTCAGTTAAATAAGTTATTTTCAAATGCCCACCAGGTCTTAATTTCTCCTTAAAGTATGCATATGATGTGACTTTAAAGGCACACTATATGTAGTAATGTGATAAAGGCAACTTACCTAATTCTGTGTAATAAAAAGGAAAAATATGAGGGTGCCAAAACTCCTCTAACTACATTAAGTGGTTTGGTACTTGGCAAAACCACAGCAAGACATGGGAACGTGGCAAGGCAAATTCTGGTTCCCATCACTAGCTTGTTCAGAAACAACTTGGAAACATCTTCCCTGCATTGCTATATAAAGGGGCTACAGCTATGAATGTCTCTGAAGAGGAAGTGAATATCATATTTAAGTCCTGTTTCTCAAAGATGGAGAAACTGCAGCTTCTGGAGTAGGGGGTACTCATCAGCCCCAAAAATCAGCTTCCCAACAGAGATTTTTTCCTACTGCAACTATGCCTTTCTTTGCAGAGATGATTCTGCCTGAGTTACTGATTTTATCAGCAGACACTGACATGTTCAGACTCTCTCCCTTTGATGTTGCTGCCATTATTTGCCTGGACTCCCAGCTGCACATGTATTAGCTTCAAGCTCCCTCCTCAATTATCTGAAATCCAACTTCTGTACCCTCTTAAAGAGATGTGACAGAATCACAGCAGCTCAAAAGCACCTACTGTTTAGGAGAACCAAAGCAAGGGACACCCTGAGAAGAAAAGTCCATGTCCCTCTGCAAATGTGTGCTAGCTCTTTGTGGCTCACCACCCTGGGGAAGGAAAACCTGGGCACTGGCTACCACAGAATCCTTCAGGAAGGACAGAAAAGGTGTCTCTGCAGCATTCACTGCATCATGAGCTCTGAGGTCTACAATTGGCAGCAAAAAATTAACCCTGCAAGTCATGAATTTCAGCACTCCAAGCCCTTTTCATTCCCTTGGCTGACAAGATTCAGGCAGTTCGTTCCACTGAAAATGAACTATTTTATGGGCAATAATTTGCAGATAACAGAACATCTGGAATAAGGATTGTCATTCATGAAAACTGAGGAGAGAAGGGGGTCAGTGATACACATCACACCAAAAAAACTGCAAACACCACTTGTACATTCTTGGCTCCCAACTTCCTCTGCCAATAACTACACTACTGCCTGAACAAGCTCCAGCTGCTTTCCTTCTGGTGTCTGTCTGCACCCTCTTGGATACTGTAATAGTTGTGGAGGAGGAAGAGGAGTTTGTCAACACAGATTTTGATCTCTCAGAGGTGTTTCCAAGAATCTGATCCATCAGAAGATAGAAGTCACACGAGTTTCTATTTTTTTTCCTTAGGTTAATGTTTAGTCACATCTCCCTAAGTCTTCCTTTTTCCCCTCCCCAACAGCATTACAATGTTGAGACAGTAACAATTGTCAAAAAATACTTCTAGTTGCCCATCTTACTCTTTGTCAGGTACTGAAAAACATGCTTGGTAGATCTTAACTCCTCTCAGCTTGTATGGGACTTGTAATAGCAGTTTCAAGTGCCCGTGCAGGTGCTGATAGGCAAGCAGAGGCTACCTGGAAACCTTTTGTGTAGGCTCAAATATGCACTGCAAGGCAAGGGAATAAAGACTACTCTGTGCTGGCACCACAGCTCTGGAGACAGAGCAATACTTCACAGCAACCACACGTCTGCCTACATCCAAACTGATGTCAGAAACAGATTTAGGACCCACTGATGAAAAGGACTGGAGAAGATTAAAAGGGGGAAGAAACAGAGGAGCAGGTCACAGCGACCTCCCTCTCCAGCACCTGCGGCACTGCCAGGTCACCACATCCCAGTGGCTGCAGCACACAGCACCCCAGTCCCCTGAGCAGGACCAGAACCAAGCTGGACTTTGTAGTCCTGCACTTTCTCAAACAAAAATCTATGGAATTGATAAAAAAAAAGCAGTTTTTATTAGTGCAAATCTCTGTCTTACGCAGTTTGTTTGATCAATGAAAAACTGATGCCTTCACTTGTTCCACCCTCTTTGGATGTGTGGTGTCTGAGCACAAACTGTACATATATCCTGCTGATGGAAACACAGTTTATCCTCCTACGAAATGCTGGCAAACACAGAAAGTCTTCAATAACACACAGCTTTGGAAATTTAATAAAATCAATTTCATTTGCATAACATGCTTACATTTCTGATGAATGTGGAAACAACCTTTGAACGTTGATGTTTACTTTATTGCATTCTATTATTTAAGAGAAAATACCTTTTCAGACCTAAAAATAAATTGCTATAAAATCCCATTTACATCTGTTTTCTGTGCAGCAGTGCCTCTAGGAAGACAAGACCCAATTGTTGTGACATCACCATGGCAGAGATGCCTTGGGCTCCACCCACAGAGGAAATATTTGTAAATGCCATGGATGACAAGGTGGTTATTATTGATACTGTCTGTACTGAAGGCTGGCTGTGTGTTCAAGTTCAGCAACCTAAAATAATTACACCTCCTGCACAGAGAAAACAATAAATATCCAAGTTAGCTGAATAAACCCAAGCTGTTACCTGTGCATCTAAGTTCTTGCGGGAGGAGGCAGGTGTGTTGGCATAGGAGCTGATAGAGGAGCTGGTGTTAATGTCATCCGTACTGAGATTGTCTATGGTGTCACTGATGCCACTGCTGACAGAGCTGCTGTCATCCCAGCTGGAGAAAAAGCACAACAGAGGGAGAAAACAAGGGTCAAAAGACAAGACATCATTGAAATGGAAGACTTTTATGTCTACAACCCTTAGCCCACTTGTGGTTGCCAGAAAAGCCAGTCACCAAGCCAAGGCCACCAGTGGCAAACTCTTCCTGACTCAGCTGAAATGTGTGCCTGCAGCCCCAGAGCAGGGGAAAGTAGTGGCATGAAGGGATATTAGCAGGGAATATTTTCCTGTGGGGTGGGCAGGCCCTGGCACAGGCTGCCCAGAGAAGCTGTGGCTGCCACACCCCTGGGAAGTGTCCCAGGCCAGGCTGGATGGGGCTCTGAGTACCTGGGATCATGGAAGGTGTCCCTGCCTGTGGCAGGGGGATGGAACAAGATGATCTTTAAAGTCTCTTCCACCCCAAATCACTCTATGATTGTGTGATCTCCAAGTAGGTAGAGCATTGACTTGCTAAGCTGTAACACAGAAATGGAACTAAAATGCAAGGAAAAAAAAAAATTCACCCTGAAGCAACCTTTTGTACCTGGGTGTTCCAGAGACCTGGGCAACAACCTGGATCTACCATCAACACGCTCACCAGCCTCAAAGAACTTTAGCAACTAAAATTTCAGTCCTTCAGATAGCAAATAACCCTCCTGAGCTGCATCACCTTTTTCAAGAGCAGCAACTGCTCAGGACTACCTTCTTCCAGCACGTGACAGCTTCAACATTTTCCATTAAATGAGAAATGTGTCACTGGAAGTTTAGGACAAAGAAAGCACCGACAAAGCAAAACCAAAACCAAACAAACCAAAAACCAACCAACCAACCAAAAAAAGACCTTGCCTGAATCAATTTGAGTGTTAGAACAGAAAGAATCAAAATTATCTATGAATGGAGCCAGATGCTCCAACTTGTAAAATTCCTGTAAAAGTAAGCTGCTCAAGGAAGAGATTTATAAATTGGCTTACAAGTGCTCCAACTCCAAGAACAATGAAGCTGGGACTGAAATATTATCCTGGAGGGAGCTCTGTGAAGACATTTCAGTCCACTGGATAACTATTGCTGGAAATCTGGAAATGTGTGTGTATATATAGTATCATAGGTCATTTGCAAAAGGTTAAGAGCTCATCACCTGGCAGCTCTCTAGCAATTTATAACCTCAGCTTCAGATTTTGGGAGCTCCAGACTTTCCTCCCTGCTGCTTTTCTGTTTGATTTACAAACTTTGTAACAAAGAGATTGCAGAGAGGTTCTGGCTGCAGAGTGAAAGCTATATTCACAAAACAATATAATGAGCAATTAACATATGCATTTAAACCTCAACTGTCTCAACCTGTGTTAAGAGAACTGTGTAAAGAAAGGCAACCTATCTCTCTTTGCTTGAACTTCATTCAAAGCTCCACCACTGATTTACTGTAGCCTTTCTACATAAACTTTGTCAGCTTTGAAATGGAAAGCATCTCATTTTTTTCCCATTTAGCACTACAAAACACCTTCCTGCACAACTTTTAATGCTGCTTTAATAATTTTCATTGCTTTTTCTTACTTGGGAGTACCATGTTCACCCACACCTGTAGAGGCCTTTTAGGGAACTGAGCACAGCTTGAAGAGCAGCACAATTTGCAGAACCACAAATGAAGTGTGGCCACGGGGACATCCTCCTCTGCATGTCACAGGAGGGTCAGAGCTGCTCCTTGCTGACTGCTCTGCTCCCAGGGAAGGTCCTCATCAATGTGCCAGCACAGTCACTGTGCCCCTTCTCCCATATCCCTGTGGATAAGCCAGCTGGGAGGCTCAGAGCAACAGCTCCAGCAAGCCAGGAGAGGAAATTTGGGGTGCTCAGCCACACTGCCCTGCTGGAACAGGGATGGGAAGGGACAGGGACACACCAGGACACTCCTGCCACAGACCCTCTCTGATGGAGCCTGGGGGTCACCCTTCATCTGGCTTTCTCCAGCTCGTGAGAATTCACTCCAGTCAGCCCTGACTGACTCAGCAGTGTCCCAGTTACAGGATTTCCAAGATTTTCCCAAGGGGATTTGATAAACCTGCAGACAGTCCAGCTCTCGTGACTGAAAAGCAATGCTGTGTTGGTCTACAGTGTTGCTGATGCTACAGTTCAAAGGAAAGAGATATTTTTTTTCCAGATTTGTCTTCACCTGGATAAAAGGTGCAATACAAAATAGAAATCTGTGTTAAAATAAAATTCACAATGTGAGACCTCCTGAATCTGAGAAAGCCAGGCAGGCAGATTTGACACACCAGTTTTATTTGTTGTTTTGAAAAATGTTTTCCAGCACAACTGAATGAAAGATGTGCTGCCAATGCCAAGAAATGTTAGGGGGGGAACTGAAAATCTGGAAAAGGATTGAAAGACTTCTTTGAAGTACTTTCTTATTTAGAGTAGGCAATTAAATTTTTAAAAATTAATGTTTTGCCTTGTGAGGCAAAATATTGAAAGCCATATTACTTCAAAATTTCAGTTCTGAAAACAGGTCCTATAACTGATATCTATTTCTCTTTCCAAACCTACCACATAAAGCAATTACAACTTCTAGGTAAGTCTACAAATAAAGGTACCAAAATAGTTAGTAAAATTATTAAATAAAAAATATGCTTCTTGTTTTCCAGAGTTTTGTGTAGCACAAACTTTTCTATTTCTGAACCTATAATAAAATAACAATCATAACAGTAATAATAACATCAACGCCAATGCCTTCTGTGTTTAATAGTTTCATTTCCTTCTTATGGAGATATGGCAGTGGGCAGAAAAAATATTAAATACAGTGATTTTCCTCTGAGTGACTCCTAATCCCATCCTCAATGTATAGAAACTGAGACATTTTGTTTTTGAGCACTCACAATTCTTAAAACTACCATAGGCCCCAGTTAACCAGCATCTAAAGAATGTGTTTAATGTTAATCATAAGTAGTTTTTCTAGCATCAGCCAGTCCTGTTGGCTGCAGTTGGGCAATCCAAGGCATTATGAAAATATCTGAGTGCCCTTCTGAACTGGGACATGTGCCTGAGGACAAAGGTAGGAACATGCACCTGAATACATTGATGGTTGTGGCTTCCCCTCCCGTGTATCCTGGCCTTTAGGTCCTTTATGTCCTGCTGGAAACTATGAATTATTCCAACCCTGTATTTTCAAGCTTACTAATCTGTTGCTAAATTTAAAAAGATTAGCTGTTCTGAGGTCTGAAGATGGATGTCTGGAAAGATTTTGGGTGCCACAAGCTAAGTAGCACAGCTCTTGTGGGTGACATTGGTGCCCAGGCTGTTCTGACAAGGTAGGATGTGTAAACCCACTGTCTAAACCCAGACAGCTTTAGCTTTAGTTAATAACTATCACTTCAGCTCAGTCTCTAGCTAGAAAAAAACAACAGCATGTAAGAAAACATGAAAACACTTTAAGAAACTGAAAATTATTTTGTAAACCTACATAAACCGTTCCTGGTGTTGCCCTTTGAAAGAGCACTGGAGAAGGCTGGTAGAATTCACTGAATTCTGTAAACTAAATGCTCTAAATGCACTAAACTCTGTAAACAAGCCACTTTATGAGCACCCAACATCCACAGCTTCAAAGTAATGCAGGGAACCCACACATTTTAAGGCTGTGGCTCCTCCAGGGGCCAGCACCAGGCACCAAACTCAGGCATTTGTTTCACGCTGCTCTTGAAACCACCCCAAGCCCTCCACATAAATCAGCTTATTTTTACCTGGATCCAGTGCCTTGATGGTTAAAGTCAAAAGTGAGGAAGCAGAATGGGGCATCTAACAGCCTTAATTATGGTGTTCTTGGCTCCCAGAGCCCAGATAGCATCTTTGCAATTTGGCTGCTGCAATTAATAATTTCTGATGTCAGCAAAAGTCTACTCAACCATAACCTGAAGTTGAAATGTTTGGGTTTTCCTTTCTTTATTTGATCAATCACCTGAAACTTTACTTTGATTACTGAAAATTGGAAATTTAAAAAAAAAAATGCAATTTAAAAAGTGTATAACATTTGAAAATTAAATATCCACCCACTTGAAACCCACCCCTGCCACCACTTAAAAACTCCCACGATGCTGCCTCCTGCTCTGCATGAAACCAAGCACCCCAAGCACCTTCCTCTGCCTCCCCACCTCACTCTGCTCACCCTAATACCCATCACCCACGTGCAGCACCAGATCAGCTGCTCAAAGCTCCTTTTTCAAACAGGTTTGCAAAGTTGTTAGGCTCAGACTTGTATTTTTCCACAGTCTATCAGCACTTTTCCATCTTGCATAATCATCATCCACAGAATTGGCTCTCTTTTGTCAACTTGGACAGCACAAAAAGTCATTCTGTGATCCTCAGGACAGCCCCTCTCACTGCAGAAATCTTCCCCCTTTGCAAAGGCGCCATTAAAATCCTTCTAAATAAAGCTATTGTTGAAGGCTGAAAATGCACCTTTCTCTACAGATGGGTGTGGATTTTAATTTTGTTGGATCTTCACTCAAAACCAAAATTACAATGAGCCGCTGAAAAATACATTTGTCCAAGAAAGGGCCTTGGGGCTCTACAATATTTCAAGTGGAAACATGGCAATTATCCTCTTCTATTAAAAAATTTAACTATTTGTGAGTTGATAGGTGAACAACAACAACAACAATAAAAAAGATCAAGGTACAAAATGATTGAAACTTCACAGCATCTTCAAAGATTTAAAAGGAAAAATTAAATGTGCTAGAACATGAGACAGTAAATAGCACAGCTTCCACTCTTTTCTCCTGGGATTTCCTACAGTAGTGAGAACTGGGCCAGAAACCCAGAAAGCACACACAGACCCTTGCACAGTTTTCCTTTCAAACTGTTCTGAAACTGAAACAACTTGCAAAAGAATGGATGGAAATCTACCTCAAGAGAAGTTAATTTAATTAATGTGTTTTACACTGCTATTAATCACCCACCTCCCCCATGTCTCCAAGTTACTCTCTTCTTACATCTCACTATAGGTATTTTAACATAAACCACTTTGTTTCTTAC